GAGAATATCACCTCTCTGGACTGGCTTGAGATGCAACTTTGGATGCATAACAAGGAATGGCTGGCCTTGCTGACTGCAGTCTGGCATTGGCAGCTCATGTTCATCTTGGAGTCAATAATGACTCCAAGATCCCTTTCCGCCTCTGTGCTTTCAAGAAGGGAACTCCCCAGCCTGTATGTGTGCTGTGGATTCCTTCTCCCAAGGTGCAGCACCCTGCATTTGTCTACATTGAATCCCATCCTAGTCTCGTCTGCCCACTTTTGTAGTCTGTCTAAATCTAGTTGCAGCCTCTCTCTCCCTTCAAATGTGTTCACCTTGCCCCACATCTTAGTGTCATCAGCAGACTTGTACAGTGTGCTTTCCACCCCCTCGTCCAAGTCGCTGATGAAGATGTTAAACAGCGCAGGCCCGAGGACCGAGCCCTGGGGTACCCACTGCTCACATCTCACCAGTTTGAGTACAACCCATCCACCACTACTCTCTGGGTGCGCCCCATCAGCCAATTTTTTACCCATCCAACTGTGTAGGCATCAATGCCACAGTCGCTTAATTTATCGATGAGGATGGGATGGGAGACAGTGTCAAAGACCTTCTTAAAGTCTAGAAAGACTACGTCCATGGCAACACCATCATCCAAGGATTTAGTTACTTGGTCATAAAAGGCTATCAGGTTGGTCAGGCAGGACCTGCCTTTGATGAACCCATGCTGATTGCCCCTAGGCAAAACCAGCAAAACCTGTACCACTATCCGGATGTTGCAAGCAAGGGGGCAAAGCTCCAAGTGGTGAAGTGCCTTGCCCAAGGTCCCTGAGTGAGTCTGTGGCATAGCTGCTGCCACCTGAGACCCCTACCCTGAAGCCCTTCTTTCTCAAGCCCTGGATAAGGCAGGGGTGTTAGGTGGGTGGTTAGTAACAGCTGACCTTAGCTCCTGGTTTTAAATAACAGCTCTTTCCTGATGTGTTCAGCACCCCAGCCCAGTTTGCACCAAAGGCTCAGAACAATTACCAAACAGTAGAAAAACCCATTTTCTGCTGGGTCCTCCCCAGGCCCTTTAGGAACAGGAGCACATGAGCTTGGAAAAGAAACCAGATTCCCTGGAACTTAGATTCTTTATGGGAAAGGAACGCTTCCTTTGTAAATGTTGCTGTGTATGCAGTGTCCCATCCTGGCATAAGGGAAGGAGTCCCTGACTTTTTGTAGGCTTCTCAGGGATATTATGTTCTCCTATAAAGTAGACAGGTGATTCTAAACCATTAAACCCAGCTTGGCAACATTGCAGAGGAAGGGCTGCCTTGTAATTAATACACTGATTGAAGCAGAGGGTTGGTTCCCTTCCCAGCTTTGCTACTAGTGGCCAAAGTGAATTAGGAGCACAAATACCATCCAATTCCTGGTTTGCATTTTCTTCACCTTAGTCCACAGAATTAATGTAGCACATAGAGTCATAGAGAAGTCGAGCCGGAAGAGACCTCCAGAGATCATCTAGTCCAACCCTGAGGCAGGATCTTCCCTATTCAAACCATCCCATGCAACCCTGCTGACTTGAATTCATTCAGGCCCAACAAAAGCTCTCTCGCCATCTCTTTTGTTATCTCCTCCCTCCGTTTGCCCTCTTCCTTATCCAGGTAATCTCTGTTAGGTGTCTGGCAGGTTAAATTTATTGTAAAGTCTGAGGCAAAGTACCTGCTGAGTAGCTCTGCGTCTTTGTATCTTCAGTTAGGAATTCCCCCTGGCTTGTTAACAGAGAACCCACAGCTTTGTTGGGCCTTCTTTTCTGGCCAGCATACTTATAGAAACCTCTTCTGTTTGCCCTCAACCTCTTTTGCCAGGTACAGCTCATTCTTTATCTTTGCCTTCCTGATATCCTCAAACTTGAGGATAGGCTGGTGATCCAGGCTGACCTTGACAGGCTTAGAAAGTGGCTGGATAAAAACTTGAAGACATTCAATACAGAAAAATGCAAGGTACTCCACCTCGGGGAAAAAAACCCCATAGCACACTTATAGGCTCGGCAGTGCTGCGCTCGCTAGCACCACAGCCAAAAGGGACTTGGGGGTCATGATTGACCACAAGATGAACACGAGCCACCAATGCAATGTTGCAGCTGGTAAAGCGAACAAAACTCTGGCTTGCATCCACAGATGCTTCTCAAGCAAATCTCAGGATATCATCCTCACGCTGTGCTTGGCCTTGGAGAGGCTGCAGCTAGAGTACTGCATCCAATTCTGGGCTCCACAGTTTAAAAAGGATGTGGAAAAGCTTGACAGAGTCCAGAGGAGAGCCATGTGCATGATCAGAGGGCAAGAAAATAGGCCTTATGATGAGAGGCTGAGAGCCATGGGACTCTTCAGCCTGGAAAAGCGCAGGCTCAGAGGGGACCTGGTGGCTGCCTATAAGTACATCAGGGGTGTGCATCAGGATCTGGGGGAATGCCTGTTCACCAGAACGCCCCAAAGGATGACAAGTTCAAATGGTCACAAACTCCTGCAAGACCATTTTAGGCTGGACATAAGGAAAAACTTCTTTACTGTTTGAGCCCCCAAGGCCTGGAATAGACTCCCTCCAGAGGTGGTGCAAGCACCTACTCTGGACTCTTTCAAGAAACGTTTGGATGCCTATCTTGCTGGGATCCTTTGACCCTTGCTGACTTCCTGCCCCTGGGGTGGGGGGATGGACTTGATGATCTTCTGAGATCCCTTCCAGCCCTAATGTCTATGAAAACTATGAAACTATGAATTTTGTCTCTGTAGGTTCTTGCTATTTTCTGGTATGTGCCCTGGTGACCTGGCCCTTCTTCCATTGCTGGCATGCTTTCCTTTTGTATATGAGGCATCCTAGAAGCTCCTTGTGCAGTCATGTTGGTCTCTTGCCATTCTTCTTGTGCTTCCACTGTCAGGACAGTTTCTTGTTGGGCTTCCAATACTGTGCCCTTTAGAAGCTCCCAAGCCCTCCTGAGCACCTTTATCCTTCAGTCTATCCTCCGATGACACCATGCCTATTAGCAATCTGAGGCAGACAAAATCCACCTTTTTGAAATCAGCATCCCAATTTTGCTGACCTCATGCTTTCCCTTTATCAGGATCTGGAATTCTGTCTGGAATTCCTCCCAAATAAGTACCCATCACCTTCACATCCTCCACCAGTTCTCTCCTGTTGGTCAGGTCAAGATTCAAGATAGAGCAGGTTTGTCCAACATGCGGCCTGTGGGCAGCTGTGCAGCCCTCCAAGCTGTTTTCTGAGGCTGAGGTGCTGCAATGGGAAACGGAAGTAAACACTATACTTTTGTTTCGGGGGGTGATGTGATACCCCTTCCTGTGAGGTCTTTGAATATGGCTTGCTGGCCCACTGGGTGATAAAAAGTTCATGATCCGGCCCCACATTCAAAAAGGTTGGACATCCCTGAGATACAGGATCCCCTAATTGTATCCTCCACTTTCTGGAAGAGAAAGTTGTCCTCCACATGAGTTAGGAACCAGCTTGACATTTTATGTTTGGCTGTGTTGTTCTTTCTGCAGAAGTCTGGAAAATTGTAGTTGAGCTCTGTGATGAAATGGGATCCCTACAGCACCATACTGACCCACTAGGTGGTGCTGTTGCTTGCTGCCTCCTAGGTTAGTTTTTTTCAGGGTGCTCAGCAGCAAGTTTTGCTAAAAGTTTGCCCTGGGTGGCCTGGGGTCTAGGTACAGTGCTGGCTAGGGGCCCTTCTAGGGCCCAAGCTGGGGCTCAGGTATGGGCATGGTGGCTGAAAGGTCCCTGGACAAAGGGACTGTCCAGCTTACTATCTGACCAGCTTACTCTCTGACCAGCTTACTCCAGGATCAGTGTCAGAGTGTCAATGACATGGCTTACACATGAATGTATCCAGACCCAGGCAAGGGCGGATCCAGGTGGGTTACAATGTATAGTGGTGTGCCCCGCCCCCGGCCCCCACTTTGATTCTTGTTTCAGGCCAAGTGCCTGGGACAGCATTAGCATTTCCGTTCAAACAGTGCTAAGGGAGACAATTGACCTCATGGCACATTATTATGTACCTGATTCTTGCTAATTGCAGGTGCTAATGACCCGTTTCTCATTTTAATGGTCTAGATATTCCATTAATCAAGGTAGCCTTTCTTCTGTAGTTTTGCTGTCTATTAGCCATTCCTGGTAATATCTCTTCTGTTTCACAACCCTGCAGGCTGTTTTCAGTTCTAGTTAAAATTTTTAACTCTGGTGTGATAATAACCTTAACTCAGGTGAACATTAACTCAAGCGTGGAAATGACTGACAGTGAAGTGTGGGATGCACTATCAAGATCCTCAAGAAGGCTACATTTTGTTTTAGGAATCTGAATATGAGACATACATTTAACTATAATGACTACAGGACTAATATGACAATATCTCTTTTCTAGTTTGTTTGATTTTCTAAACTTAATAGATAACCTAGCAAACTAGCACACATTTCAATAAAGTTATATTAATTTTTGTTTTTATCTTAAGCTGCATAATACAGCCCTAGGCCCCTAGCATATTAGTGAAGCTTCTAGTTTCTTTTTACCAGGAGAAAAATGAATATTGTGTTATATGCAATGTTGCACCACACCATTTGCATCTGTTCGTGGGCCTGTGTGATGCTGCCATTAGGAGGGCAGGGGGAGCCCCAGGCCTCTTGGCATGGGAGGGAGGGACATTGGTGAAAGAAATATGTTTAATTTCTAAAAGGGAGTCTCCAAGGAAAGAGAAAGCGGGAATGGGACTTTCAGCCACTGCCTTCCTGCCTCTATAATAAGGGAAACACCTTCTCTGGAAACCCCACCATGCTGCCTCCCAGGCCGGCACTGATGTAGCTGGGAGCAGGAGCAGGAGCAGTGCAGGGTGTGTTCCTGGGCATGCTGTGGTGAGCGGGCTTTGATGCAGTGCGGATGCAGCTCTGCTGCTTCTCGGTCAGGAGGTCGTACACAGCGGGTGAGCAGGGGGCGCGCACACAGTGCCACAGCAGCTCCATGCAGAGCCACTTACAGGAGCTCCAAACACTACCCACGGACTTGGGGTGGTGTGCTGTCCTGTGACCACGGCGCTGTGCCAGCTGCTGCTGCCCCCTTCCTATCCTCAGTGCAGGGATAGGGAGAGACTTAGCCCTACATCGCCTGGCACCACAGGACTGTCCTGGGGTCAGGTAGCCCCCGACAGTGCCCCTGCCCCGCAGCCAACCTAGCTCCTTGGAGGCACATCTGAGAGCACAGCCCCAGTGAGCCCAGGCCAGGAAGGGACAGAAACCTCCCATCTTCAGGCCTCCACCCCTCTCAATGTTGGGGACCAGCTCAGCTGTGGTGTGGGGAGGAGCATCCTTGTCTCCTGCCCTGCGGCTCTCAGACCTTCCTCTGAAGCAGAGGGTGCCCATGCCAGCTGCCAGCACTCTCACTTTGATTCAGCTTGGGAGAACCTATCCTCCTCCTTCCCACTCTGATGTGATCCCAGAGCAGGTCACTGCCTGGCCTGGGGACAGGGGAGGGGATGGCAGCATGGGCCTTGCTCTCTAGGGGTGACTGGCACCAATGCAGTCCAGGGGCTGCAGCACAGTGAGCATGAGCTGCCCCCGGGCCCCCAAGTCAATGCTGCATGGGTCTCTGCCGCCCCCTAGTGGCTGTTTCTCATTACAGGCTTACCCATCCACCTCTGGGACTGGGGTTTTCCCTGTACCCCCAGGGGAACAGCCAGGACATCCTGCAGTGGCAGGATAGTGGCCTCTGCAAGGGCATCCCTTGGGCATCCCAGCCTGTGCCACCTTCTCTGATGGCTACAGGGGCAGTAAACTCAGGGCTTGGACTGGGACAGCTCAGTGCCAGCCATTCCCTTGTCCCAACCCAGTTGCTCCATGTTTGGTCCCAGATACACTGAGCTCTGCCACTTAGCCCAGAAAACCAGGCCATGCCAAAGGCAGAGCTGGATTAGACATCTTGGGACAAGACGGGAGGTCTTATGGCAGGAGCCGGGCTATGCTGGGTGCGTGGATGGGAAGAGGATTCAGTCCTTGTGCGGGGTCAGACTCTGGCACACTGGGTCCCAGAGCTGCCTGCCCCTTCCCTGCAACCCCAACCTGGCCCAGGCCCTCTTGGTCACGCCCTTGGCAGGCACAATGGGTCCAGTTCAGCCCATCTCTGTTTATTCCCCTCTGCTCTGCCATCCCCTCTGCCCCTCTCCTCACTCCCTCTGCAGGGCAGGGATGGAAAGGCTGCACTTCTCCGTCTTGTTGAAGGCAATCTTCTTCTCGTAGTAGGCTGCCTCGTTGATGAAGACGGGGTAGATGGTGGCATGGCCCTGGTACAGGATCTCCTCCCCACTGAAGGTCTGGAAGATGGGATCCCCGGGCCTCAGGGGGAGGAAATCCTTGTCCTGAAGGAGGGACAGGCAGGGAGAGGCTGGGACTGGCATAACTGGAGCTGCCCCTGACACCCAGCTCTTCACACCCCACAGCACCCCAGCGGGGGGCAGCCGGCACCCCCTGTGAACTCCTTGAGAGCAGACACTTGACAGATGGGCCTGAGAAGAGGGACCCCCCCTAAAAATGACTGTGGCTGCCACGGCAGCATCCTGCAGTTGCCTTGGCTATCCAGCTGTGGAACCAAAACTGCAGACCCAGAAGCACCAGGGCCCTGCCCTTGTGGGAGATGTGTCCCCATGTCTGCATGAAGGCTGCTGACTCTTGCTCTCCCACGATGCTAGCTAACTCTGGCATTATGCTGGCACCGCTGAGGGCAGAGCTGGATTGGTTCCCACTCACTCTATGGCCTCTTTCTGCTGCTTGAATGTATAACCAGGGTCCTCCCTGGGCTGTGGGCCCCCTGCCTGTTACATCCCAGGTGTGAGACCCTGCTCCCAGCACCCAGCACAGATGCTGATGCAGGTGGAGCTGTCAGGGCTGTGCCTAGCAGCTGGCTGTTGCTTGCCTCCTAGAGGCCAAGGCAAGCACAACTCAAGGAGCTGGAGCCATTACCTGGGAGCACTGAGGTGGCTTCAAGCAGCCTCCTCCTGCTATGCCCAGGCAGAACCAGGCCCACACAGTCATGCTTTGGCTCTGCTATCTGTCTCTTGCTGGCCTGGCAGCCAGGACCCTCCCTCCACCAGAGAAGGGCCGTGAAGGGCAGAGATACCTGACCTTCCTCATGCTGTTCCCACCTGCAGCTTGGAGTGCACTGAGGCACAGAGCTCCCCATCAGGGTGGCGGGGATAATCCACACTCCCGATGAACCTGTAGGCTTCCGTCTCAAAGGCAGGGAAGGTCGTACCTGGGGCAAGGGACAGAGGGCTCAGATCTCATGGAGGCTTCCTTAACCACCAGCTGCTCCTGCCAGGCCCTGCTAGCTGGCCTGGAGAGTGCTCTCCCACAGGACGGACATAGGGGAAGGCCTTGCTCCATGCAGGGGAACCATTCCAAAGCAAGGGATGGTGGGATCATTGATGGCACCCATGGGAACCACTGCAAAGCAGTGCATGGTGGGATATCTCACAGCAACCATGGGAACTGCTGCAAAGAAGGCATGATGGGCTCGGTCACCTCCCATACCCAGCGTGATGCATAATGGGACAGCTCATGGCACACATGGGAACCACGGCCAAGGGAGGCATAGCTGGATACCTCACCCTGTCTCCTGCTGGCTGGCTGTGGAGCAGGATAGCATCTGCTCACTTGGACCTGCCATGAAAAGGGACACGATGCAACTGCTCACCTTTGTTAAAGAGGTCGATGAAATCCAGGGCACAGGCCACGAGGGCTCCCATCTGAGTGAGCAGGTCAGCTCTCAACACTCCCTGGGGCTGTGGCCCCAGCTCAAATGCTGTAGGGAGGATGCAGGGACCTGATTGTGGCATGGCTGCAGCATCATTTGCCAGCTTCCTTCCCAAGGCAGAGCAGAGCTGACAGCCCTCAGGTGTGCTTGAAATCAGCGACACCCAGGGGACCCTGATATCCCCTCCCTGGTGCACCCCAGCAGCAGAGAGGTAACACATGTGAAGGCCAGGTGGGGCCTGAAGCCCAAGCCCAGGCCACAGCCTCCAGAGCCACGTGCCAAGCCCACAGATCAGCTCTGTGAGCTGCTATGGCACAGCTGCTAGGGGACAATGCTAGCCCCCTTTCCCACATGTACATACCATGGCACTGTGCCCCATGCAGATATCTCCTGGGCAGCGCATGCCCCTGTCACTTTGGGGGAGGGGCTGCAGTGGGGAGGGGGAATGGGTGGGCTGGGTGCATAGGTGGCAAGGAGGAGGGTGGGTGAATGGGTGCAGCAGAGATGAGATCTTGGAATCATGGGTAAAAGCAAGGGAGCTGGGCATGGGGGGCATGTGAGGTGAGAAGAGGTGGAATTTGGGGGCTGGGGAAAGGAGAGGGGGTAGGGCTTGGGTGCTGGCACATGGTGGGCTGGGCAGGAGTTGGGAGTTGGATAATTGGTAGCCTAAGGTTTCAGTGGTCGGGTGCTTGGGGAGTTTCTTGGGAGATGCAGGGCATAGGAGGCTGAGGAGATGGTGTGTATTTGGGAGGGGTCTGGCTCTCAGGCCCTGCTGCCCAGCCCCCACAAATGCCCACCTTACAGGGCTAGACAGGTCCTGCCCATCCCCAGGTGGAGCTGCGCCCTACCTAGCCCATGCTTGGCCACTGAACTGATGGAGTAGGCCTCCTGGTCTGGCAGATTGTACAGGAGGATGGGGTAATGCCCCAGCGTGCAGTGGGTCTGGGGACAGGAGAGAGAGAAATCAGAGACAGCAGCTGTTAGGAGAGGGAGTCTTGGCCTGCCCTGGCAGGAGCGGGTACGGGGGCCCTGGGAAGGCTGGGCCCACCTGGATGAAGTGGCACATGTGCATGGGCAGCAGGTTGTCCTGGACGCTGGCGATCAGGCAGGCCCCCACATTGGCTGTGGTGTTGTGCAGCTCGAACAGGAAGTCAAAGGCCTGGGCTGAGCCCTTGGGGCCGTAGAGCTGGTTGATCTTGCGGGCGCGCTGCACTTCATAGGGTTCGTCCTGTGTCGCCTTGGAGCTGGGACATGGGGGCAGGGAGGGTCAAGGCCACACATGGGCCTGGGGACCCCCTTGCCTGGTGGGATGTCAGTGAGGAATCTCCTGGGGGCAGGGTCCCCTGGGAGAGTAGCATGACAGTGCACCCATCAGGGGCTCAGAGGCCCCATTTCATGGAGGGGATTTGGGGGTTTCCATCCATTTTGGGGAGCACTACAGGTTTGGGGAGAGCTTCCCCAAGCCCCTTAGGACTGCCTCAGTTTGATACATTCTGGAATAGTTTATATTATGTCCCAGGTAGTCCTGCAGAGCAGTGCATGCTGGGATAGCTCACTTATTCCATGCTCCCCCAGCAGCACTGCAGGGTGGTGCATGCTGGGATAGCTTGCTCATTCTCATATTCCTGGTAGCATGCTGGGATATCTCCCTCCATCCCCAGGCCCCAGGTAACACTGCAGTGATGCATGCTGGGATAGCTCCCCCATACCCATGCAGAGCTTTGCCCTGGGCTCACTTACTTGAGGAACTGCTTGGTGAAGGTGCGGTTCAGGTCCCTCCCCACGTAGCGCACGCACCGCTCGATGGCAAGTGGGTTGGCCAGGAAGGGTGTGGCTGAGAAGCTATCCCGCTGCAGCGCTGAGGGCTCCCGTAGCCAGTGCTTGACCAGGTAAATGCCCGACATCTCATTGCCGTGGGTGCCTCCGCTCACAGCCACATGGCTCACGGGCTGAAGGCGCTGCAGGGCAGCCATGCATGAGGCTGGGGAGAAGAGAAGCAGGGGCCAAGCTTAGGTGGGAGCCCATAGAGGTGCAGGGCCCTCTGGGGGTATGGGCAGAGGAGCATGTGGTGCCTCCCCACTGGGGATGTCCCTGGCTGCTCTCACTGCACCATGAGAGGTAGGACTGCTGCCACCCTTGTGCCTATGGTACAGGTGGCTGTGGCTTGGGGGCTGGCCCATCTGAGGCCTCTTCATGGCACTCCCAAGCGGGATGGAGCCCCTTTTTCAGCATGTCTGCAGCAGCAGCTCCTCCAGCCTGAGGGGTGTTTAAAGTTTCACACTGGGCACATCTACACAAGATTTTTACTGTGAAACGGACTAATTAGCTCCAGAGTAAACATCTCAGAGTCTACACCTGCACCCCTATTAGGGTGTAGGAAAATAATACACTCTGCAGCTGGTTAGTACTTTTGAATACAGGTACTACCTTGCTGCAGAGCTTTTTTCATGTGTGGCAGTGCACGCGTAGATGCAGATGGGGCTGGATGGGGCATGAGGGTGCTTCAGCGTGTGGGCTGCCTGCTGGTTAACCCCACATTGAAGCACCCCCATGCCCCAGCCAGTCCCTCCACAGCACATTGAGGCTGCTGGCCAGGCTCCGCATGGTAGGGAGCATGAATGAAATGCAGAGCTCATTGTGAGTTAATTGCTGCACATGAATAAAATGCAGAGGTCATTGTAAGTTAATTGCTCCCAGGCGCGTATTCAAATGGAGTGCCCAGGAACAATAAACTCCGGAGCAACAAGCTCCATTTCATTCATGTGCATTAACTGCATGTGTAGACATGCCCACTGAGGGTTACCTGTAAGCTGCCCCTTTGCTTTGCCATACCAAACCCAAGCAACTGCACAGGTGCCAACAGAGGTTTCTTACAAATTGATATAAGGTTACTGGGGGGTTTGGGTCACATGCTAACAGGCTTAGGAGGTTAGGAACACATGGGTGAGTGCATTAGGACACATGCATGTAAGATATATGTAACAGGCGAGTAAGCATGAAGGCACATGCACTTGGAGTAAACATAACAGGCAATAGGCAGCTGCCCAGGAGAACCTTTCAGCAACAGATAGCAGGTAACCAGAAAGTAACACTAACCATGCAATATTTACACTGAGCAACCTTTGAGCTCTCCCTCAACTCCAGGGGGGCCTCAAACCAGTCTCCAGTCCTCGGTGCACCAGGTTACTGGGCACCCAGGGGCTGTGCCTGAGTCCTGCCCCAGAGGCCCACAGAGTCAGCCCCTCTGTGCACTCGGGCTGCCCACTGGAGCCCTGCTGCTGTGGTTCGCCAAGTCAGCCCCACCACAGATCCTGGGTCTCTGCCATGTATCTCCCCAGCTGCAGCTGTCACTGCCGCCATTCCCTCTCTTTCCTGTTCCTTTTTCGTGGCAAAACCCCAGCTTCCTCCTGCCTTCCTTCCCCTGCAGCATGTGGGGAACTGTAGTTCTGGCTGTGCACCTGCAATCCATGACTTTGCCCTCTCCTGGGTCTCCATGCTGGGTGTCCCTGTCATTCTGTCTGTGGGGCCAGGCTGGGGTCAATCACCCCAGCCTGTCTCAGGAGCCTGGGCATCTAGCTCAGTGTCACTCTAGGCAGGCTGGCTGTTGCAGGTGGACATCAGTGGGTGGATCCACATGTGCATATTAGCGCAACTCAATAAACTCTGGTGCTTATACCTCTGGAGTTTATTGCTTCTGGGTGCCACTTGGGACTGCAGCACATTGAGCCCGGTTGGAACAGCTCTGACCGGTAGGGGCCCTGGGAGGTCAGCCTGCCAGCCTGAGGCTGCTGTGACTCAGCTCAACATGCTGCAGAGGGGCTGGCTGGGCACAAGGTGCTTCAGTGTGGGACTAGCCAGCAGGCATTCCCTGCATTGAAGCACCCTTGTGCCCTAGCCAGCTGAGTCAGGGTCTACATGTGTGTTGCTGCAGAGTAAAAAATGTGCATTGGTGCACATTATTAGGCTGGAGTAAAATATTAAACTCCACAGCAGGGTAGTACTAGTAAATGTAAGTACTACTGTGCTGTGGAGTTTAATATTTTACTCCATCCTAAAACCCCTGCACATGTAGATGCTGAGACATTTACTGTGGAGCTAATTAGTCTACTCTGCAGTAATTGTCTCATGTAGAAGTGCCCAGTGAGTTCACCAGCCAGTTCACCCTGCCACATTCACTCCTTTGCCCATTCATTTCTGAAATGGCTGGGAGACTGATGTCAGAGGGCCCCACACACCCTGCAGCCCACGGGGCTGGTGCAGTGGAGATACCTCCAATCCTGTATCTAGAGGGACACAAGGGAGGGCTTTGGCCAGTAGCAGACTCGCCTGCCTTTGCCCACCCACCCTGAAGAGCAGGTGCCCATGCACAGCTGGGTTGACTGGGGGCAGCCTCTGGCATGAGTGCAGAGTAGGCCTTGAATGCCTGCCTTAGGACCCATAGTTAGACCCTAGCATGCCTCTGTCACCACACCCCAAAAGGAGACACTATAGATAGACAAGTCAGATGGCCAGGGACTTCCTCAACATAGGATTCACAGCCCAGCACCTTCACAGAGGGGCAGGAGGGTAGGACGAGCTTGCTTTCCTGATCTCACTCTTCCTTCACTTGCCCCTGAGATCACGGGCTGGAGGGGTAGCACGTCCCCTTGCTCATCTCTGTAGGGAAGGTGTTGTTGGTGAAAGACTTGGGAGGCTGCTTTGTCCTCTGAACATCTTCCAGACTCAGGAGGTGTATCAGTCATGCAACATGCCCCAGGCACGTAGGGACACTAACAATTTACCATGGGTTAAATGGGCTATACAGGGATTGCAAAAGACAGGGAAGAATGCAGGAAAGTTATTGCTACATCAAAGATGCCCCAATGGTCGGTGCGGCCTCAGGACTCATTGAAATGGGGTGAGGATTCACCATACATCAGCTGCCCTGTGGCTACTGCCTATTTGTACACTCTTACACTGGATTCAATGGGAGCAGATGCCTGATAACTGACCTCTTTCACTGAGGATGAAGCTGGTGCAGTTTAGCTTCCTATTACTTGGGCCATCTGAGACTGGGTTGTTCCCCTCCAGCCATCCTCTCTCCACCCTACCTAGTGCACTCTTGAGCAAATAGCCGCAGAGATCTTCTCCCCCATGCAGATAAAGCAGCACAGTGATCCCAGCCTCCCTCCCCACCTGTTTAGCAGGAGCAGTGCAAAGTTGGATGGTGCAGGAGAGCAGGCCACGTCCCAGGGGATGGAGGAGTGAGGGGTTGCAACCTTCTTCATCCTCCCAGGGGCATCTGGGAGGAAGGTCAGCATCATTTCAGGCCTTTGCTGGGGAACCCCTCTTACCTTCCTGCTAAGGGAATAGGAAGAGGCTTGCAGAGGTCCAGGCAGGAGCAGAGGCCAAGGGTGTATGAAATGGAGTGTGCTGACGGTGCATGGGAAGTTGAGAGGGAGGAGTTGAGAACGAACCTTGTACAGACAGGTCTGGTGACTGCACCGTCACGTGGTTACACACAACTCTCCTTCCCTCCCTGCTGCCCCTGGCCCCTGAGTCCTGGGGGAAAGTTCAGCAGAACAGCCCAACTCTATCGGCCCCATAGCTCAGCTGCTCTGGCCATGCTGGAATCCTGAGAAGGAAGGAGAGACCTGGCGTGATGAGATGGCTCAGGCACAAGACGAGCTTGCCCTAGTGGCCCATCTGTATGAGCTGAGCAGGGAACTGGGACATGGTCTTGATGCTTCCCATCACTGTCCTCCTCCTCCTGGGAGATCTCCTGCCCTGTGACAGAGGCCTGACTCTTCCTACCCAGCCTTAGTAGTACTTGGGGGCAGGACATCCCTGGATCGGTTGTGTGCTGCAGAGCTGCTTCTTCCCCTCAGCAAGCTGGTGTTTTCAGGGCACCCCCTTCACCTTGTCAGGGGGAAAAAGGAGGTATGGCTGAGGCAGGCAGAGAAGGACCCAGCCCTGCCTACCCCTCAGGCATGCAGATAAAGTGCTGGGTTGGCTGGATGGCTGGCTGACAGAGGCTACTGATTAAGTTCTCTGTCTCTAATCATAACACCCACCCTACCAGGCCCCAGCTGTGAGAAGTGCCTGAAGATCAGAAGCACAAAGTGAGACAGTGTTTAATTTTTAACTCTTGCCCTTGGGATATGAGTGAGTGTTTCCCCAAGGCTGGCCGTGACCTGTGTAGGGGGGGGCACCTTCAGGCCCCTCCTGACACTCTCAGACACTGTTCTTGAGTAGAGAAAGTATGTTGCTCAAGGCAGGATATTCAGAGATTTTAGCAGAGCTTACTAGAGGTGCAGCTTGTATCCACGCAGATGTGCATCCAAGGAGCTTAAGTCCAACGCTTCCAACCATAGGCGATGCACAGGGATGGCACGTGCCCCCCCAGAAAGCGCTGGTGCCCCCCCTGACAGCACTCCGGCTGGTAGGGGGACACTGAAAGTGCCAGTGCCCATCCTGAAATTGGGTCCAGTGGTGGGACGTCAGTGACGGAAGTCACTGCCACCGTGCCACATGTAGAAGTGCTGGCACTTTTGTGCTTGGCAACTGGCTGCTTGCCTCCCCCCCGTTGTGCCCCACTGGTGCCCCCCCAGACTCCGGAGGTACCAGTCGCCCATGCTTCCAACTCTCAGCTGCCCTGGTGGAGGAGCTCTCACACTGTTGGCCTGGTTTCCTGGCAGAGCAGCTCACCCCAGGGCTGTATTACTTTTCCCCAGTTCCAGGGGGAGCCACTGGAGCAGGGATGTGCTGTTTTTTGCCCCAGACTTTGAGTTCCATCCATTCCTCCCCTCCTGGATTTGCTGGGACCCTTCCCACCCCAACCAAGAGATGAGTCTGTCACCAAAAGTCCAATACCATTTAGTCTTTAGAGGGACAAGTCTACAGCCTGTCTGTGGTCAGGACTCTTTTGCAAGCTTACACACGTATTAAGGAACAATTACAAGTTTTAGAGATTATAATTTTTGGGGGAAGAGGACTTCCTCTTTCTCTCTCTCTCTCTCTCTCTCACCACCTGGGCAATCTGTTTGCCATGTTCCTGTTTCTTTTACTTTGCTGACGAGGCCAGTTGTAATGTCTGCAAAGGTCTACTTTGAAACAGGCATTGTGGCCTGCTCCAGCCACGTTTCAGTAACTTAGTATAAGTCCCTTGAAGGTGGCCAAGGCTGACAACAGGTGAACAAAGTCACATTATTATATCAGAAGGATTCTAGCTGACTATGTACAAATCAGTTGTTATAAAATGGCAAAACATTGGTTGTTACTTTTAGTGGCTGTTTCATGCTTTTCCAAAAAGCTGTTACATGTTCTTGGCTTTAATATTAGTGGCTTGATAAATAGACTTTTACTCTACTTTCCAGGCCACTGCTTGTGATTTAAATGCAAGTTTATTAAGCAGCAGCATTTAAATATGCCAGCATTAAGCACCTATTATTCATAGCTCAGGCTTTTTCTAAGTCCATAGTGAATGCATCTACATGTGTATATTAATACAGGATTGGGCCTAGGAACACTGCACCACCCTCATCCAGCCCCAGGCCACCCCAGGCCCCAATCTAGTGCTCAGGACCATGCTATCCTTATACAGGGCTCCCCATGGGCCCAGACATTTGGCAGCAAGAGAGAGGCAACTGCTCCCCCACTGCCAACTCTTTGGACTCATATGGAGCTCCGCAGGCTGGATGACATGACTTTGGCAGCCAGATCTGGCCTGCAGGGTGGGGTGAGTACCCCTGGACTAACTGGTTTAAAGACACAAGAGCTCTTGTATGTCATAACTTTGCCTGATGCCTGCTTGTCCAGCCCTAGTTATGCTACTGTGTCAAACAGTCTGAGCCTGGGAGCTTTCCTAGTGGCTGGGACAGGCAGTATCTGTGTGACACCCGCCCCTTTTGCAGCCCTCAGCAGAGGAATCAAAGGGCACACACCATCTATCTCAGCGCCCCCCACCCCCAATGAAAAACCATGGGCTGATGTTTGCTGGGATTTCTAGTACAGGCACTGACACAAAGAGTTGGTCCTGGCTCCTCACCTTCAGGGCATGGCCACTGGTAGGGTGTGAATCCAGCCCTAGGCCCTCAAGGCAGTGGAGGGTTGTAAGCAGGCAGACCTCTGGGGAAGTGTTGGGTAGACAGAGCAAGTGACACTTGATTGACCCCCTGCAGACAGAGGTGAAGGCAGTGAGCAAAGCTGAGAGGAGGAGGAGGAGGAAGAAGAAGCATCACTGAGAAGAGCTGTGGGAGGCTCTGGCCAGGAGGAGAACAGGACCAGCCTAGTCTGATGGCTCCCCACAAGGTACTCCAGGAGTGTGACACTCACTACAGGTTGAAGAGGGACAAACCTTGACATGGAGAAAGCATGGGACACACAAAACTGGTTGCATGTTGAAGGTGTTGCCTTCATGTGAATGGCTGGGTGCCCATGTAGGTCTGAAGCCCACTGCTTGAACAAACTGTTTGCTCTCCATCCTTTCCACTCAAAAGTAGAAGAGGGTGATGAGGCAACCAGACCAGGAGACAGCAACGAGGACAGCAGCAGCAGATCCTCCAGCAAGAGTGACAGTGACAGAGAATGAACTGAGATTTTAAACCCTGTAACCAGAGTGTGGACTAAGGGACTGTATAATCAGGTTTGTGTGGCCTGCTGGTGGGTGTATGGGAGTGCAGATCCACGGGTGCATGTATTGTAATGGGTTTATGGCTTTTGTTTTGTGAGTTAAGGTATATGAAGAAAAGGTTGCTAGAAGGTGTATATATAACTTCTATGTATATATATAACTTCTGTGTGTGTGTGTGAGACAGAGTATATATCTATACACATACACACATATTTTTACAAAAAAAAAAGATTCTTAGGCACTTTGGTGGCTTGATCCTCTGTATCTCTCACTCAAACAGTTACGGGACTGAGCGCCAGTGCAAAGCACTTTAAGTACAGTTGGCTGATTGCCCAAGGGGCCAGGCTACTCTGTGCTGTAATGGATAGTGTATTGACCTTTTAGTGAGCAGAAGGTATTGGAAGTTTGTTAAAATTTAAAAGAGTTAATATTTTTAACTCCTCACCAGGAGCTTATACCTGACTGTGGGGCACCTGGAGCAGACAGTGCTGGAGACAGGACATTGGACTAGTGGCTGCTATGTGGGACAGGACATAGGTGGAACTTGAGCTTCCAACCAGAGTGTTGTTCAAAGCCACATAAAACCAAGCCTATTAGACCTGGAGTTCAAAGCTTTCACCAGGAGGCATACACCCAATGGAAGGGAGGGGCCATCACCAAGGAGGACTATACCTCCACTGCTCAGTCCTGTAGGGAGGCTGTTAGGAAGGATAAGGTGGAGACGGAACTGGGACTAGCGACCTGGATCAAGGATAACAAGAAGTCCTTTTTTAAGCCTGACCTCTATCCTGGGCAAGGTCTTAGAAAAGATTATTAAAGAGGCCATTCTTAATGGACTGGCTGACGGCAACATCTTGAGGGATAGCCAGCATGGGTCTACTGTGGGTAGGTCTTGCTTGACCAATCTTATTTCCTTTTATGACCAGGTGACCTACCTATCACCTGGACAAGGGAGAGGAGATTAATGTCATATATCTTGACTTAAAAAAAGTCTTCGATCTGGTATCCCATGATCATGTCTTGGCAGGACTGGCCAACTGCGGCCTCGGGTCCACCACGATGCACTGGCTGGGGATTTGGCTCTGTGGTTGGACTCAGAGGGTGGTGGTTGATGGAAGTCAATCGTCATGGTGCCCTGTGACCAGTGGGGTCCCCCAGGGCTCTGTCCTTGGACCCATACTGTTCAACATCTTTGTTAATGATGTGGACATTGGAGTCTGATGCAGGCTGGCCAAGTTTGCCGATGACACCAAACTCTGGGGTAAAGCATCCACACCTGAGGACAAGAGGGCAATCCAGGCTGACCTTGACAGGCTCAGGAAATGGGCGCATGAGAACCTGATGGTATTTAACACTGAAAAATGCAAGGTTCTCCACCTTGGGAAGAAAAACCTGCAGCATGCTTATAAGCTCGGCAGTGGTACGCTGGCAAGCACTATGAATGAAAGGGACTTGGGGGTCGTGATTGACCACAAGATGAATATGAGCCTTCAGTGTGATGCTGCAGCTAGTAAAGCAAGCAAAATGCTGGCTTGCATCCATAGATGCTTCTCAAGCAAATCCCAGGACGTCATTCTCCCCTTGTACTCGGCCTTGGTGATTCCACAGCTGGAGTACTGCATCCAGTTTTAGGCTCCACAATTCAAAAAGGATGTGGAGAAGCTGGAGAGAGTCCAGAGAAGAGCCACGCACATGATCAGAGGTCAGGAAAACAGACCTTATGACGACAGGCTGAGAGCCATGGGGTTCTTTAGCCTGGAAAAGCACAGGCTCGGGGCAATCTGATGGCCACCTATAAGTTTATCAGGGTGG